TGGTTGGGTAAATTAAATGCTATTTTAACTGATTAAAAATGATGACTAACAGTCTTAGTCAGAAATCCATAGTTGTTTTGTTTATTTATTTTTGTAAGAATCACCCTTAGGTATATTATAGTCATTTTGTACTATTGGGTTAGGGTTAGGATAGGCATAGCTTTGCATTTTTTAGGTTTGGACAATTTGGAGTAAACCTTCTGCTTTATATGTCAGAAACTACTGCCGCTGCTGGAGTTTTGTGTGCACAGACACATAATTAGGTCCATATGATTGTGACTGTGCATTTATTGATGGTGTAAGTGTGTGTAAAATGAGATTGCCACTATTTGTACTCTCCTTTGTACATCTGTTGTAGACACATTGCACCCAGTGGTACAGCTGTACACACACAGCAACTCCAATTAGTGATATTCAGCACCTACATTCATCTTTCACTTACTCAAAGAGAAAATATGACTGCCTTGAAAGTTTGTATAGCCAAGCAGAAGCTGACCCACTCATGTGCCAAATACCAGTAAAATATGTGCTAAATAAATAGGTAGGACAATCATCTGGTTGGTAGCAAAATTTAAGATTCAAAAAGTCAAAAAGGAATTTTGTTTTTTGTTCTACTTCACAAATGTGATGTCTGAAACTGCATGTTGTCTTTGTACTTATTAGTATGTGTGAGGTTTAGACTAGATGTTACTGTGCACTCAATTCGATATAATTCGCAATACTCGGTTCATGATATGATTTTCTCAAATTTTCTTAAACCATATAAGATTGAGGACAAATTATGATTAAAAAGATGATTTATTTCTCAGACAAAAATCTACAAAATATCTTTCTTAATTGAAATTTAAGAATCTTTTTTATTTCTGAGGTAGGAAATTAACTGTGCAAAACAATGCATATTTCCTGTATTCCTCATCATCCTCAATTTCATCTTTACCTGTGGCTGCCACTTCTTTGCGCATGATACAGGATTGATACAGCAACTGATACAAGTGACATAGTATTACGATTCATATGTCATCTCACTTTGAATTTGAATCTTCATATATTTGTATTGTGATTTAACTGTCTCACGATATCTGGCAACAATCCCAGTTAACATATACCTAGTTGTGAAGAATATCTATTTGAACAAGTGTGTTAACGTCACACTTTCAGATTGATGTTTGTTCAAGTGTGTATGTTTAAATCAAATGTTTTTGTTATTTAAACATTGTACAATTCATGATTAATTCATCTTAATTTGCAATATTCAGTCAGCAAATTTTAACCTCTTAATTCAGATTTCTCATTTACCACACTTAGCTATAATAGTAATATAACTAAGCTATAATGGTTTCTTCTGGGTTAGGGCAACAAAACAACAAAATGTGGAAATATGTTAAAAATGCATAAAAACTTACCAATACGACACAGCCCATGACTGGTTATAAAATACACTCAATTGTGGCTTTATTAGGTCCTCCTGTACACCTGCTGTAATGTTAAAATCTAGCATCAGAATGGGGAAGAAATTTGATCTATGTTAAATGCATGGTCTGTGAAATGACTTTGTTCCAGACAGGTTTTTTGAGTATCTTAGAAAAGGCTGATCTGCTTGAATTTTTTACTTTTGTTTGTGTTGTCATCACACAATGTCTATCCTTATATCGCACAACCCTAGAGAATGGTGCAAAAAACAATAGAACACCCAGTTAGCAGCAGTTACTTTAGTGGTTCCCACACTCACCAAATCCCAGTCCAATGGAGCATCTTTGATGTGATGGAACAGGAGCAGCAGGAATGTGTAGATGTACATACCAGCAGAAAGTGTGTGATGGTGATCTTGTCAACATGGAACAAAAGGAATGCTCAAGTGCAGGCTGTTCTGGGGGCAAAGGGAGTTGAGATTGACTTGATTATCAGTTGTATATCGTGGATAAATATGCTATTCCATCTTCAGTATTCTGGTTCATGTCCCTATTATTTAGCCGTTGTTGTATACAGCCTTGAGAGAGAGAGTGTTTGCCAACAGAACCTACCTGCACTCTAAGCAATGGTCATTGTGTGCTGAATAGGCCTTTAGCCTCCACAGTCTCCCCCAGAGCAAAATGTTGCCTCTGCAATGTTGTTATAGTATCCATGGAAGAGCTATAATACGGCCAGATCAGATTAAACCTCGAGCCACACACACACACACACACCACCACACCACCACACACACACACACCACAACACAGCATATATACCACGAATGTATATGACATGTTCAACACATACACACACCACATCATCAATGAAGAGCCAAGAAGGTTTTGGAAAGCTTATATATATATAAAGCTTAACATATAAAGCCTTAAAAATTAATAATGTACTAAAGTCATTGGGTCACAAGAACCACTCAATACGACCAGATTTGTTGTTAATGTACTAGTCATTTATGGGAACTTGAAGGACCAATGTGTAGGATTTTGTGGCATATAGCAGTGTAGTTGCAGATGGCAACCCCCTCACGCTTTGAAAGGGAAAGTAAAGTAAGGGAGTTGTAGTGGCCATAAAATATGCGAAAAACGCGAACAGGGGAAAACAGGGGAAACACAAATGTTTACTTAAGAATTCTAATGCTTTAATCTGGAGTGTAAGTGTTAGTTTGGCCTGGCAACTCATGCAGTTCTCTGTCCGAAAGCTGCCTCTGGGTCTTCATAAAAGTCACTTACCAGTATCATCCTTTGATGCACTGTATGACCTGACCTGTAATAGGTGATAATATTCCCTCATCCATCTCCATAGCTGTCACATCCTCTTCACCGTTTGATCTAAGTCACCTGATTTGCTATAGGAAGAAATTTCAGGTATCTAACTTCATGTAAAAAAGAGCTCTCCTATTGGTAACTTCAAATAGAAACGTATATTAACACTGTATAAACACATGCATTGTGTGGCCAAGCCATATTGTTGTTTCCTACACTTTATTGTATCTAGTACAGTTCAGTTTTATTTGTACTGTGCCAATTCATAACTCAAGTTATCTCAGGACAGTTGTCAAATAGAGCAGGGCCGTACTCTGTACACTGTACTTAAAAAGAGTGAACTGTACAGCATTTGTTTATATATGTGTAGTTTTAGCCAAGCTTGGTGGATTGGTTGTCTACTAACTAGGCTACCATAAGAAAGAATCCGGACTTCCAGCCTTCAGTGAACCTGCCCTCCAACTTGCCAGCTTATATAGATCATCTGCTTATTCATGGCTAGCCCTAACTCAATCACTGCCTTTCCCCAGATCCGTAACAAATGACAGCAGGCAAAATTACAGTCATTCGTCTCTGTCTACCCACATAATGTCGGCTCTCCTTTTCTGTCTTTTAAACCAGGACACCTGTACCGTCTTCATCCTCTTTATCTCTTTCTCCTCCTCCATCTCCTATAGCTCTGTCTCTGTAACCGGAAAGATCCCACCACATATGTCTCCAGTAAGCTGACAGTCTCTACCAATCACAGTTAAAATTGCATGCATTTATGTACACCATCATCAGCATAGGAGGCGCAGATGTTTTGCTACTGTACATGCACTTTAATTTGATAGACGACCTGTCAGGCATAAAGCAGGTCACCTCCGCATCACAACAGGTGTGTTGTGGGATATATGTCTTGAACAGTGTGCAGTGGCTGTTATTAAGGCAGCTGGGGGTGGGGATTTAATTGCAACTCTCTCTCCTGCCGCAGTATTGCTACTTTCAGTCCCTCATCAAAGTGCTGGAGGCAGATGTCAGATGTCTTTCAGTGACATGTTGTATGTCCAAAAAGTTATCAAATCTGTTCTGGTTAAGCTATTATTTCACCTTTCATTTTAATTAAGTTAGAGCTCACCAGTATATCGGGCGGTCAATATTATTAGTTAATATTGGCCTATTGCAGACGTATCTGTATCGTATTGTTACCGGCTTATACGTCATCTGATATGCGGCAATATAAAAACATTTTTTTCTGTTATATACTGTATGTATATAAAAAGCTTGTAGTTTTAACTGTACTGATGTTAAGCATTTTTGTAGCCATATGTTAAATTATTCAACATCTTAAAGAATTTTTAACTAATATTCTTTATTAAAGTTTAAAAAAGCATTGTTTGCGTAGTCACATTTGTGAAAAATCGGTCTATATTCAATCCGGCTCAATATTTCACTTTAATGGCTGCCATCTGTGAATTTTTCCTTCTCTAAAATTGGTATTGCTATTGCTCTTATCAAATTCATATTGGTCAGGCACTGCCTAAAATAGATCTGTTTAGTAATAGGTTTTTTGTTCTCATTGTGTTAAAGAAGCAGTGTATGTTCCTACCTGTCTTTTTGTCATAGTTTTATTCATAGTTTGTCACTTTTAAAATCTTTGTACCTATTAGTGTAGTTATTTTATAGAACCATGACGATTAATGGAGAGCAATCATTTTAACATTTATTCTAGTTGGTTGATGCAATGCTCACTCAGACGCTTTGTAACATCTCAAGTAAATTATATATTACTAATAATGCCATAGTAATTCATAATCCAAAATGAAAACATGTTGCACAACATTTCTCCAGTAAACCATACTTTATTAACTAAATATATAGATTTAAAAATACCTTTTTACAAACTGCACACTCCTAGTGGATACAGAAATGTAAAAGAGACATATTAAATTACCATAAATACATATATATCAACCATAAAATCCTCTTTACCAAATATAGTCAATTACAAAACACAGTACACTCAAATCTTTTAATGTGTAAAGTAAACAAACATTCATGTCCATAAATATTCACATGGACATTTGAAAAATTAGGTTAAGAGTAAAGACTTTTCTGCTTTATACTGAAAAAGGGGGATAAAACATTTTACCATTGATCATGAATCAGTCATGTTCTTGCACACTACAGTCCTACCACTACAATAGATGAGTTATAAACATGTGGCCTGTAACCTCTAAATCAGTGCGTGTACTCATTGTTCAGTTTTCTCTTGTTACATGTGTGCATCAGACTGAGGTTATCAAGGGGCCATGTGGCAGTGTGGGGATGACGTTCAGACATGTCCCTGCCAGCGAAGGGGATGCAGTGCACGTCAGCATCGAGACTGTGACGCCTAACTCCCCTGCAGCCATGGCAGACCTGCAGAAGGGTGACCGCCTCATTGCCATCGGAGGTCTGAGATGTGTTACTGCACCCATTATTAGTTAGCAGAAAATGTTTGAAACTGTCCTTCACTTCAGTTCTGTGCACAACTGACTAAAACTTCTGGTTTCTGTTGACAGGTGTCAAAGTGACATCCTCGGTTCAAGTGCCCAAACTGTTGAAGCAGGCTGGAGACAGAGTGGTGGTACTTTATGAGAGACCAGTACGTCACCAGACTTACTCTTTTGGAAGCCTGGGCACTCTTCAGGAAGGTTTTGGGCAGCTAGAGGAAACAGGTTTTATTTCTCAGTCAGGGGGTTATGAGGAAGACCCTGCTCCAATCACCACCATTTCTGACATACCTGACAACAAAGACATGGATTCTGAGTTTGAAGAGTTGATTGTGGACTCCAAACCTAGCCAGAGTGGTGGTCCTAACAGCAGTACCACTAATACCAGTGACACTAAGGAGGATTCCTTACTAACAGTAAACCAAAGCCCCAAAAGGACTGTGGCCAACTTGGCCTCTAAGCCCCTTGGTACGATATCCCCTATCCTCAACCGCAAGTTAAACCTGGTGGGTCTCCAGTCACCGTTAAAGCCCCAGCCCAAAGAATCACCAAAGCCGTCACCACATAAGACCACTAGTGATCCTGGGGAAGGTCTGCAACGCCCCACCATCCCTCCCCCACCTCCTCCTTCTCGACCCCCAGTACCGCCAAGACCTCAGATAAGGTTGACATCAGCCTCCTCAGAAACCAGTCTTTTGGAAGGCGTTGATTCTGTTACAACTACAAATACTACTGTTGGTCCTACCGTGACTACCACCATCAGCACTTCTGAAAAATCTCCAGAAAAAACTCCTCTCACTGGAACCAATGGGGATAAGGCTGGCACCGAGAAGATATGTGTGAAACAGGCTGAGGTGAAACAGTCTACCCGGCCAGCAGAGTCCAGTGATGAGCTGCCAGTCCCTTCTGCTGTGACTAGCAGCAGCAAGACTGATCAAGCAAAGGACAAAATTTCAGAAAGCTCCTGCAGCACACGGGACAGTCTAGAGGATCACTCCCTCTGGGAATCCCCAGAAACCATGTTTCGTAACCAGACAGCACGCTGGCCCAAGGCCTCTGTGGTGTTTGAGGTGGAGAGCAACCATAAGTATCTTAATGTGGCCCTGTGGTGCAAAGATCCCTTTAAGCTGGGCAGTTTGTTCTGCCTGGGTCACGTCAGCCTCCAGCTAGAGCATTTAGCCCTGGAATGTATGGCCACGTCATCAGCCGAGTACCAGAGCACCTTTAGGTTGGGGCCTCCAGAGCCCAGAGCTAACGTCAGCCGCACTGCACTACGCAGCCTCAGCACCCACAAGGGCTTCAATGAGAAGCTGTGTTACGGAGATGTTACTCTGAATTTCTGTTACTTAGCCGAGGGTGAGCTAGAGTATCCAGGGGGACTAGCAGAAAGGGAGCGAGAGGGGAGTCTCCATGATGAGGATCTAAGGGAGAGGGAGAGAGAGCATGTCCCCTCAGCACCACGTGATGACTTGGCCTATGGCACCATGCAGTTGGTGGAGGTTCGTCACAACTTCCAGGACACCCAGTTCCAGAACCCCACCTGGTGTGAATACTGCAAGAAGAAGGTTTGGACCAAGGCGGCCTCTCAGTGTATGATCTGCGCCTATGTTTGCCACAAGAAGTGCCAGGACAAGTGCCTCACTGAGAATCCCTTCTGTGTGGCAGCAACTGAACGTCGCGGAGCTGACCCTGAAGCCAAATCTACTATAAACCGGGCCACCACTGGCCTAACGCGCCATATCATCAACACCAGCTCCCGCCTGCTTAACCTCCGCCAGGTGCCCAAGACTCGGCTGGTTGAGCAGGTGGCTGATGTGGTACCTGGAGTGGTGGAACCCTCGCCCAAGCATACCCCCAATACTTCAGACAATGAGAGCAGTGATACTGAGACCTACACCAGTGGTGCCAGCCCCTCAAAGCAGCCTGCTGGCAGTGGTAGCAGCAGTAAGCTTGTACGAAAAGAAGGTGGGTTGGATGACAGTGTGTTCATTGCTGTGAAGGAGATAGGCCGTGACCTCTACCGGGGGCTTCCCACAGATGAACGCTCCCAGAAGCTTGAGTTGATGCTGGACAAGCTGCAGCAGGAAATTGACCAGGAGCTGGAGCACAATAATGCACTTCTGCTGGAGGAGAGGGAGGCCACAGATGCCCGGCGCAAGGCCCTAATTAGTACTGCCCTGGCCAAGTCTGGGGAGAGACTCCAGGCCCTCACCCTGCTAATGATCCACTACCGAGCAGGCATTGAGGACCTGGAGTCAGTGGAGAGCACTTCTCCTTCAGAGCAGCAAGGCTTTAAAGGCAAAGGAGAAGCCCTGGAGGAAGAGGCCCTGATGGGAGCAGAGGTCTATGACAGTGACATATGCAGCCCTGTGGAGGTGCAGCTGCTGGACGACATTACTGAGGAGCAGATCTGTGTCGAGGCACTCCACTAAATAAGACTAGAAAAAAGAAAGAGGAGGAACAAGTGCTTTGGGCTCAGGCCTCCCAGCAAATGTATGTCCAGTTTGTTATTTGAGATTGGGAAATTTCAGAACTGCGTTTTAAATATGGGGGATATTGGGGTTTTATTTTACATGAAAAAGAACAGATGGGTAAAGGAATTTCCTCCCTAAGGATTCATGGTAAACCTGTTATTGATGTTTTTATTTGCACAGTTTGATGCCGTTTCTATGCTCTGGGTTTTTAAAGGGAAGCTTGAGAGCTACACTATTCTCTGCCCTCAGTAGTGCTGCATGTGTATTCTCCAGTTTTATTTTTCTGTGGCTTCAAAATGTCATTGTAAGCATTTTAGTTTGCTTTCTTGTCCGTAACTGCTTTGACATAAGGACTTAAATGCGGATATTTCTGTGGTCTTCTAGTCTGATACATCTTAACTTTGGAAAAGACAAAGAACTGTTCAATATTTGTTTGCTGTGAGTAACAAGCCCATATGAAGGAGAAATATTTGAGTTTAAGTGTGAATACTACTAGGGAAAAGCAGGTTTAGACATCCACCTCAATGGAACTCATTTGTCTACGGACACTGCCATACATATCTTTTCTTTTTAGCACTTTTTTTAACTATTATATTTTAGATGTTTTTCTCCCTGCTCACAAAGCTCTTTGGGATTTCAACAGCTGCATAATTATTAGTGGAATCTTATACGTAATTTGCCTCTTTCTTTTGGTTTGTTTGTTTGTATTGGTTAGGCCAAATGCGTCTGACTATGTAACCCATATTTTTCTTAAGGAGGTTATTGTCCTGGTTTGTAGTTAATTAATTAATGTTTGTTTTTTTGGTCTTGATCAGAACTTTTATGGATGCAATGTGAGAATGACACATAATTTCCTTTTTTTCATTGATCTCTGAACGAATGTTACTGCTCTCATGATGTTAAGATTCTCCGACATTTATTTAATTGGTTAATGTGTGCGTGTTTGTGTATGAAGATGATTTAATGCTGATCATTTGCCTTGATAAGTTGTTGTGATGTTTTCATACCCAAATGAATGTATGTTTAGCCCTTTCTGTGTTTTGTGTATAGACAGCTGTTTGGCACTGCCTCCCACCATTTTCTTGCAAAACAAAAGCAAGCATTAATGTAGCCTGTTACAGTGATTCTGTCTTAACCAGCTCCGGCTTCCAAATGCTATCCTGTTCATTTCTCTTTTATGCCCTCATAGAGCCACTGGAAGATATAGTTTTGTAAGGAAGGAATATCTTACTCTTGCATATCAAAATCTGAAACACTGGAAATTTATTTTGGTCTTCATGTCCTTTTCTTTCTTTATTCTGATGATTATTATGCCAGTCACTTCCACATCACATATTTCCAGCACAAATACAATTGAGTTTGTCAGTGGATACAGAGTGAGATTGAGATTGATTGAATATCAGAATTGTGACGTTCAACAATCATACAGGGAGAACTCTATTCTCCCTGTATGATTGATAAGGATTGTCAACTCGATTGAAAGTAAGTGGGCATTCTGAAGGAAAACAACCTTGCGTTCAAAACAGACTGTGAAACATCATTTTGTCTTTGATCCCTGACCATCGCAAGGTAAGCAGTAGAAATATACTGTTCATGTTAAAAACTAAACGACTAGGGATGTGCGCTTCCAAGTGTTTGATTGGCCACTACAGCACCTTGCCTGATGCTGCATTGCGTTGAGGCAAAGGTTAAGGCAACTTTTTAGCTGGACAATCCTGCTTTTTTTGCCAGAGACCCTGCCTTGGCCCCTACGCTGTGCCTCTGAAGTAGCCTTATTAATGCTGAAGGCACACCAGATCCGACTGATGTCAAGTTAACGGATTATATTAGTTTTTTTTTTATGGAGAGCAGGGGATCTGGCAGCTTGGTTATGCAAAGAAAGTCCGTCCTGTGCAATGCAGCAGGCTCACAAAACTCAGACCTGTAAACTGTAAAACTAGGTAATGCTGATTAAATACGAATAAAGATTCTGTTACTACATCAAAACAAGTGATTTCAGAAAAATGTTTTAGGGTACTGTTTAGCCTTAATGTGTAAACCTATCTGGGCCGGCCACCACATTGATAACGGCAGATCCATAACCAAGCACTGCCCAACTCACAGTTTCGTCACCTACCAGTCAGTGCATCCAGACCTGGATTCTTTGTGTTTGCTGCATAACACCTTTATATACCTTCTCCATTAGTTGTTAAATGGCATTTTAGTTAAGTCCTCAGTATGGTTCAAAGAAAGTGCCAGCAGCATCTGAAACCTCCAGTCCAACAGTGAGAGATGGTCCCTGGGTCCATCAACTTTGTACATTCTCCAAACAATCTGACAGCCCACTTTATGTAGTGTGCAGAGGTGCAAAGGTGTAAAACTATTTCCATTTCTTTTTGGGTGAGCAAGTACAAATACAACACTGTTAATGATTCTAAGGTTAAACTGATCCTTAGTGTACCCTGCACCCATTTGTACAATTCATTGTGTTGAGACACAGGGTGTAAGGTATAATAGAGTAATCAGGAAATGACCATAATGTAGCTAAGGAGAGTTGGCCTTTGAGTTTAGCCATTGGGAACAGGTATAAACACTCTTGCTTTTAGACGTGTTTGATGACATATTGTACAAAAAAGTTGAAACATACTGAGGGCTTTAGGGCAGGTGTTTCCAACCTTCTAAGAACCAGAGACAGTTTCTTCATCAACAGCAGTTTTGAACCACTGAATTAGGGCTAGGACTGTGGTGACATTTTTAAATTTTAGTAAAAAAAAAAATATGATGGTAGATTTAACCATTGACATATAAAAGATGGCGGTCGGGTCTCCATTTCCTCTCTGTTAAAAATGTCCATATATTCCAAATATGGACGCCGCCATCTTTTGCCACTTGGAGCCAGAGTCTGCTGTGCTGTGGTATCGAAGTCCTGCCTATACACCTAGCCGACTCAATCGCTAGCAGGGCTCAGCTATCTATCATGATGTAAAACCTCTTTTTATAGCTTCAGAAAACATACATCAGCGTGATAACAACTACCTAAAATGACAAAAACCATCTTTGGGAACAATTTGTTATAAGTGTATTTTGACTTTTTAGTTTGGCTTATCGGCTAACATGGAGGCAGCACTGCAGTCAGCCACCAGGGGGCAATTAAGATGTTTTAGCTTCAATTTTGAAGAGCTGTCACGTTGTCCTTATCTTTATATATGAATTCAACAAATATGACAATAATAACACATCAACCAAAATGCATTGAAAACATGCTGAGTTAGCAGAGGGTAGATTTTTAATGTTTACTCTACATTAAAATCCAAAAGGACTCGTCCGGGCTCATGGGAGAGAAGTAATCAGCCAGACTCTAAAAAAAAGCAATGGCACATTTCCTGTTCTTTTCTGTGTAATAGATATGTTGCTCATGTAGATAATGGCTTACTGGCTGCTATACTTCAATCTCGTCAATCTCTTTCAATTTCTATGTATCCAGATTTTTTGTGCAATATTTTTGTTAGAAATTATGCTGATAATCAGTAATGAATCTCCATGTCTGTGATTTTCTTATCTTTTAATATGTGCAGTCTTTGTTCCCATCTGTCTGCTAATGTAACCTTAGGGATTTTTGGGAACCAGTGAGAACCTCAGAGGAGTTCTCCCTTCTTCCCTCCTTTGGGCTGAGAAGCACTGCTTTTGCTGCTGCTGCTGCTGCTGTTGTTGTTAGAATGTGCTCTTCCACAGAACTCATAGTCACACGATTCTGCCCCACCCACTCACCCTAACCTTTGAAACTGCACTCACAATTTGACTGACCACCACAGCTTTCAGCAGGTCAGGATGGTGTTTGTTTCTTTTTGTGTATGTGAGGGATGTTGTACACAGTTTTTGAGAAGGCTCATGTGATGAAGCTTTATTGTACATAACCTAAATAAACAAGCTCAAATAAATTCCCATCACTCAATGCTTTGTGATTTATCGCTCACATAAGGAACTTTAAAGGCACAATCTGTGATACAAAGCAATAAATCAAAACTAGACACTAGACAACCACTAAATCTAAGTTTAAGGATTATTTACATCAAAAATCTTCATCAGCACACAAGGAAAGTATATTTTCAATTAAATTCAGCTGATGGTTTTCAACTTGTCACAAGGTCTTCATCGGCAGAAATGTACTCACTGATGACTGATAACAACTAACACCATCCAGTAAGGTTGGTGATTCTCAAAACATTTGTATATATTTATTGTGATTTGTTTTTTATTATCAACATAGTTAATGAACTAAGCTATATTTTTCTTAATGTTAAGAAGTAAACCAAACCAAACCACGACCCTCCTTTGCAGGTGTCTGTTACATTTAGAGGTCCAGTGTGTAACATTTAGCAGGATCTGTTGTCACAAATGTAATATAATCATATCATAGGTATGTTTTCATTAGTGTATAATCGCCTGAATATAACATTTGTTGTGTTTGGAATGTTAACCTTAGAATGAGCCGTTCTTATCAATCAGCATGTTTCTAGCCCTGAACGGACAAACCAATCACTGGCTCTGGATAAGGCCTTTCGTGTTCTTCGCGGTCACCAGAGTTTCTCCTACAAACTTCACAGTCTGTTCTCATTCCCAGATTGTCAAATACCAGTGTGAGTGGTGTTCAGTTAGTTGCAATCTGCACTTTCATAACTTTGTTTTCATTAGTGTATATTTACCTAAATATAGGAATGGTTATGTTTTTGTTATCTTAGAACACTGGTTCTCAAACTGTGGTACATGAGCTGCCTCTAGTGGTAAACGGAGGAATTTAAAAAAAAATGAAATAAGTAAGAAAAATATAATACTGTCAAAATACTACAAAATTTGTAAATGAAAAAAGGACGTGTTCGCTGAAATGGAATTTCAAATAAGTTCTGCATTTTCTGTAATTTAGTTTTAATATCAGCCTGCAACATAGCCACATGATTAGGAGCTAAAATGTGATGGTAAGATGGCTACAAACAGGAACTACTGGGAAGAGAAATGTGGTCCAGGAGTGCCAGTTATGTTTCCCTTTAAAGCTGTAAAAAGCAAATTTGTTGAAGCTTCCCTGTACCTATGTTGCTGTAAGAATCACAGTTGTCTGGGTTCTTGGTGAAGACGGAAAGGAGGGAAGGTATTGTGTGAGCATCTGCAAAGTAATTGAAGCTCAGTGTTGAGATGGACAGGCTGATTACAGTGTGTCTGCTCCCACATTTCCCCATCACGGCAGCTCATTCTGCTGTCTCCCACCACCCAGCGCAGGCAATCAAGTCAGTATTTCTGTTACCAAACTGAAAAGCATGCACATTATTTTCATGGTACCTATACATGTTACTCCTCTGTTCACTCCAAACAGGCATGTCGATAATGGGAAACAGCATTTAGTTTAGCATCCCAACACCAACAGTGTTCTAAAGCCTTTAAATACTTTAAATGCACCAAAAGATAATCATGCTAAAAGTCCATCTGTCCCTATATTGTGTTTCAATGTCATCATTGTAAAGGAGAAAACTGCTTTTTCAGAGTAGACCACATTTAATAGAGATATTGCATTCCCACAAGTAAGAAAAAGGAAGACAGATAACATCCAGCCACATGACACACATGTAAGGAGGCTCACTGACATGGGCAAACACATACGTATTGTTGTGAACATTTGCAATAGATTATTGGATTAACAAAACTACAAAAAATATTAGTCCACATATGACTCACACGGCTAATAACAAAAAGACTCTTCTTTAAAGACTATTCTGAGAGGAGAGTTTGGTGTGTTAGTCCCTGCTCTAACCAGCAAATCTCAGACTTTCTGGATGAACTGCTCCAGTTGGTTAGTACTGGTAGTACTGGTACTTGGTAGCTGAATGGTTATGGTCTTAAAAAAAAACAATGAAAAGCAGAAGAAATGTATTGCTGAACTGCAAATTTAGCTGATGTTCTGTCATGGCTAGCTAGCTAGCCACTGTCTCATTAGTCCCTGCAATCTCTTTCATCAGCCTGATAAAATGAAACGTGTTCCTGGGGTTTATTGTGAATCTTCTAAAACAAATATTTCTGGACAACAGAACTTCAGAATTTGTTGTTTCAACAACGAAACATTTGTTAGCATACAAATAACTACAGCTCGCATTAAGTCTTACCAGTACATGCTTAATGCTGTCATTGTAACCAGTGGTTCATTCTCTTCTAATGTAATATTTTCCAACTGTTTGCAAACGTATTATTGGGCTAGTGGGTAGGGGTTTCACAGAACAGTCGACTATCAAAATCACTAGTTGACACTTGGCATCGTTGCAGACTAATTGTTTATCTGTAGTTTTTTATGTGTGTGGTCAGGGTAGGCAGTGCGTCACCAAAAGAAATGTTGTTTGTACTTGTGTTCTTGTGTCCTTGTAAAATGTCATCAGTTGTCACCAGTTTTCACTGTCACCCTAGTACTGTCCCAATACATAAGATCGCATGTTCAAGCTTATTAATTAATCCTAAACCTAAACACCCGATCTGGAAAACACTGCAGCCAGCTCTGTTTGTTATAGTGTAACAGTGTCCTGGCCCGTACTCCGGTTCGCCGTACAGTTTTTTTTTTAATCAAGTTTAGTCCTTAAAACAGATAAAGATAAAGTAATTATTGTAGGTGATTTTAATATTCATGTGGATGTTGACAATGACAGCCTTAGTAATGCATTTATCTCATTAATAGACTCTTCCAAACTGGTAGAATCACGTTCAATCTGGCAAGATAGTCTTAAAACATATAGAAAGGCTCTCGGTAATGCCAGAGCAACCTATTATTCAACATTAATAGAAGAAAATAAGAACAACCCCAGCTTCCTCTTCAGCACTGCCAGGCTGACAGAGTGTCAACAACAGACTCTGCCTTTTTAATGAGTTCGCCACAACAGACTGATAAAACATCTGCAACATCCTGTTGCAGACATTGAAAGAC